GAGGAGGCCGGTAGGAACCGAGGGCCTCCCGGGGGGCCTGGGGGGTGGGGGGCGCAGCAGGCGGGAAGAGGCGGGCCCGGGTGGGCTACCTTCTGGATCTTGAGGCACTTGATGTTGTCGAAGCACTTCTTGAGGTGGGGCTGGACGGCCTCCGGGTTGCGCGACTGGCCCAGGATCTCCAGGAGGTCGTCGTTGGAAAGGAAGTAGAAGCGGGGGAAGACTTGGCGCTTGGTCTCCAGGTACATGTCGAGGGACTTCTGGATCTCTTCCAGGGAGGCGTTCATCTCCACCAGTTTCTCGAGGAGGCCTGAGAAGGGAGAGGGAGGGCCGAGGGTCACTCGCGAGGGGCCCCACGCTCCGGCCGGGCAAGCCCGCCTTCCTCTGGGCGTTTGTGGGAGGAGAGTGGCTGGAGGTCTGGAGCGGCCCCACGGCCTTGGCCCCGGCCTTTGCTCTGGGAGCCAGTCTGGTGTCGTGGCTAGGACCGCGGACTCTCATCTGGGAGAACCGGGTTGGATTCCCCACTCCTCCACGTGCACCTCCTGGATGACCTGGGGCAAGCCGTAGTTCTTCTGACAAGAGCTGTCCTTGAAAAAGAGCAGTTTCTGTCAGAGCTCTCTCAGCCCCGCCCACCTCACAGGGGAAGGGAAAGGAGTTTGTAAGCCGCTCTGAGATTACTTCGGGTAGTGAAGGGCGGGGGGTATAAACCCAATCTCTTCTGTCTCCTTTTCATCCCTCAGCTCTGTTCAGCCTCCAGCCTCTTCCAACCCCTTCCTGCCCCTCCCCTCCTGCAGCAGGGGTCCCCAACATGGTGCCCGCCTAGTATTTTTTTGAGTGGGAGGAGCCAGGTGGGGGCTCTTGCCCAGCAGGGCTTCTGATTGGCCACTGAAGATCTGATTGACTGGGCAGATCAAAATAAGTGTCTCGGTGGTGGTGGTGGGCAGCTATCACCACAGCCCTGGTTTTTATTCTCTCCCTTCTCTTTCCCGGAGTGTTTTTTAAAATTACCCGCTTCCCTCCGTCTGTGCGTGTGGCTCCACCGCTGCACCCACCACCCCCGAGTGTCAGGATCCCAAAGGTGCCCGGAGGCTCAAAAGGGTTGGGGACCCCTGCCCCGCAGCAGCGTGCCCCTCCCCTCCCACCCCCGAGGGCCCTCCCTGGCCTCCTCCCACCGAAGCGGGAGAGATCGGAAAACCTGGGAAGTGGGTGGCCCGCAGGGCGTTGTTGTCCTTGACGAACCGGTCCATGATCGTCTTCCAGCTGCTGTTGATGCGGTCGAAGGAGGCCGACTCGCTGGGCAGCTGCTTGCGGATGTCTTCACCCAGGAAGATGTTCTGCGGAGGGGAGGCGGGAGACAGGTCGGGGAGGCGGCAGGGGCCTTCCGGGTACCAGAGTGGGACACCGGCACTTTTGACACCGGGGTGTCCAACCAGAGGCGCTTCCCCCTCTGCACGGGAGGAGGGGAGCGCTGTCGACTTGCAGGGCCGAGTGCCGCTCTAGGTGGGAATCCAGGGGAGCCCTGGGCGGGAATCCCTCCGAGAATCCACGTTTCCCACACCGCGGGATTCTCCGTGGCCGCCCCCCGAGAACGACAGGCAATTTGCCTCATCCGGAGACTCAACGGGAGGATATTGATGCAATTGTGCCTGCCTCTGGCGCTAAGGAGAGGCTCTCCCCAGGAGCATGAAGGGTAGGATCTGGAATTCACTGGCAGCTCCCCGTAAGTGCTGGACAGAACCAATGGCACTTGTCACTGGTCTCTCCCCATAATCTGCAATCTGCTGATGCTTAAAGCTTGCTTGGGGGCAAGAGACAAGCTCCCCCCCTCCGAAGCCAAGAGAGTCCTTCTGCCGCTCTCCCCAGCAGAGCCACCAGGGGAGTTGCGCTGCCTGCCGCCAGGCACCCCAAAGAGTTACGGCCTTCGACCCCACCAGAGGCCCTCACGCGCCCCTCACATCACCTCCAGGATGAGCGAGAGGCAGCGCTCCCAGCGGTCCACCTCCTTCTCAAAGGGCTTCACAAAGCGGGAGGCCTTCATCGTTGACAAGGCCACCTGGTTGTCATCCAGGGCCTGGAAGACATCCTCCGTCCCTCTGCAGAGAAAGAAAGAGCTCAGAAGCAAAAACCACCCCGGAACTAAGATCACAGGGAAAGGCCTTCCTGACTACCCCACCAATCAAACGCTCTCTACGTGGGGCTGCCCTTGGCCCAAATCCGGAAGCTGCAGCTAGTGCAAAACGCGGCAGCCAGGCTGCTGATGGGGCTCTCTATACGAGAGCACATCCGGCCTGTACAGAAGGCATTGCACTGGCCGCCAATAGCATACCAGACTCGCTTCGAGGTGCTGGTTTTGACCTTTAAAGCTCTATAGGGTCAGGGGCCTGCCTACTGCCTTTCCCCACGTCCCCCAGAGAGCACTGAGGTCAGGGTCGCAAAATCGCCTGACTCTCCCTGGTCCAAAAGACGCCAGATTGGCCTCTACCAGTGCCAGGGCCTACTCAGTAGCGGCTCCACCTTGGTGGAATGAGCTCCCAGAAGACATCAGGACCCTGTGGGACCTTCTACAGTTCCGCAGGGCCTGTAAAATGGAGCTCTTCCACCATCAGGTGCCATCAGGAGGTCCACCAGCGGGGCCAGGACACTTACTGCCCCCCCCAGCACCAAGAATACAGAGCATCACTTGCCCCAGAGACCCTATCTATACCTTGTAGCTAAGAGCCACTGACGGACTTCTGCTCCATATGCTTATCCAATTCCCTCTTGTAAGAACATAAGAGACGCCAATGTTGGATCAGGCCAATGGCCTATCTAGTCCAACACTCTGCCACACAGTGGCCAAAAATACCAGGGGCCATCAGGAAGGTCCAGCAGTGGGGCCAGGACACTAGAAGCCCTCCCACTGCTGCCCCACCCCCCAGCACCAAGAATGCAGAGCATCACTCACCCCAGACTGAGAGATCCTCCCTATACATTGTGGCCAATAGCCACTGATGGACCTCTGCTCATTGTTTGGAGCAAACCAAGTCACGGGGGGAGGGGGGGTTGTCTTGAGAATTGGGTCCCAAGAACATCACAGTCCTCTAACCCTCTAGACATCCCTTTTCCATATTCCCTTCTTTGAGATCTGCCAGAGACAATCCTGCCGTCATTGTCTGGAAAAAGCCACAACCCGATACGGGGCTTGGTTCACTCTGGGGTGGCCCACGTTCTTAAGACGAGAGTTCTTTTCCTTCCAGTGTCCTTGGAGAGCAGGGCTGAGCCAGCTCCTCGCCTTCAGAGAGGGACCAGCCAGCCCTGGCGTTAAGGGCACCCCAGTGCAGGCTCAGGGCAAACAAAACATGGCTCCACCAAGTCCGCTGATCAGGCCGCCGGGAATAGTGAGCAAGGAAGGAGAGCGCTGGCTCTCCACCGCATCCGGACAGCAAACTGTTCTCTGTTTTTGGGGTCCCATCATTGCCCTGGTGTTCACGCCAGAACCCGGCCCCCGGACTTGGACCTACCTCATGCGATGGTGCCCTTTGTCCTTGTAGGGCACAATGTCGAGCGTGGTGGCATCCCAAGTCTTGGCAATATTTTCAAGAGACTGCAAGGAGAAGGACACCCCACATCAGGGGTGCATTGGGGGGGGGGGAACCCGGTACGTTCCTGACTACTCGATCCCAAGTGGAACCCAGATGCCACCCGAGTGTGCGCCCAGCGGTCACCCGGGCATTCTGCTGTGTGATTTGTGTTCTGTTTCAGCCCCAAGTCAATTCGGGCTGAAACTGGGGGACTGTGCCAGCGTGCCTTCCAATAACAGCTCCCCACAGAGGTTTATTTTATTGTGGCTTTTATCCCGCAATTTTACTCCTCTGCCGTAGTGATTTTGTCGCTGTTATCGATTGATTATCGACACGAGTGGCTTGGCGTGTGCTCGTGTTTTGTGCCAATCTCGTGGTAAGCCCCTTTGAGCATATTTTGTGGAGAAGGCCGTGAATGATGCTGCAAATAAAGCAGCCAGGCTGGATGGGGGGGATACGTTTGGTCCCACCGCGGCCCGGTGAAGGAGGCTGGACCCCACCCAAGCTCTGGGGCCGAGGGGGCCGGGAGAACCGACCGGCAGACGCCACCTGCTCGATGGCCAGCTCCTTCGTGGCTGAGGCAGAGATCTCGGCGATCTTCTCCACGTGCTGATCCAGGCCCAGCTCAACGATGTTCTCCAACCGGAAATCCTCCGCGGTCTGATCAAAGGTCCTCAGGACCAGGTCCTTCACCTGATCCCAGTGTCTGCAGGAAACCACAGCGCAACCGTCAACAGCTTGCCTGCCCTCTTCCCTTCTCCCTACTAAGGGAGCCTTGGGCGCAGGACTGAACGCATCAGGTGGTCCAGTGTTCCCTCTAAGCTGAGTGAGTGTGAGCCAGCTCACAGTTTTTTTAGCCCCCGGCTCACACATTTTTGTCTTCGCTCAGGAAGGAGGGCTCCAGAGCAAACTAGTTTATGCAGTAGCCCACAATCACTCGCTCACAACTTTAATGCCCGTAGCTCACAAAGTAGAATTTTTGCTCACAGGACTCCACAGATTAGAGGGAGCATTGATCAGGTCCAAGAAGATTCATTTTCTATGGCTGAGGAGCCTGTTCCTCAGCTAGCAGAGCAGGGTCCCTGCCAAGCCCACAGGGAACTGCTTATCTCCGCTGGAGAAGCTTCAACCTGTTCTTCTTCCCAGCTGCTGCCTCCGCTCCTAGCAGGAGACATGAGCATCTGTTGGGATATTTGCGAGTTCTCTTCCTGTTCGTCATGAAAGTATTTCCTGTTTGTTTTCCATGCTCATTTCTAGTTACAGATCCAATAGAATTGTCTATGTGTTTTCCCCGCTAGGGCAAGGTGATAGAATGCTTAATTAGCCAGTGTTGAGATTCTCCAATTGGATAATCAATCGTTTGGGGATGAGCTATGGGAGAGAGCTGAGGGTTTCAGTTCATTGCTCTTTGTCGTCTTTCTCCCTGAAGTTTCTCTGTAAGTCTTAGGGCTGCCAAACCGCAGCGGGGGATCCGTGCATCGTCACAGGATCCCTGCCGCGGGGGGACAGCGATAGGCGTTGCACAAGCGTCGCCAGGATGTGACGCTATGCATCGCTCTGGCAACGGGGCTGTTTGGAGTCCCGTTGTCAGAGTGACGCGTAGCGTCACATCCTGGCGACGCCGGTGCAACGCCTATCGCTGTCCCCCCGCAGCAAGGATCCTGTGACGACGCAAGGATCCCCCGCCACGGTTTGGCAGCCCTAGTGAGTCTTGACGCTCCCTCTAAGCTCTGGAGTCTTATGAGCAAAAATTCTACTTTGTGAACTCCTGGCATTAAAACTGCGAGCAAGCCATTTGGCTGCTGCATCAATTAGTTTGCTCTGGAGCCCTCCTTCCTGACCTGAGGCAACATGTAGCTTAGAGCTAGTAAGGACAATTTAATTTACTTCTGTTCTCCAAGTACCCTCACCCAGGGGTCTTGTTGTAGAAAAAGAGCTGCCGGAGCTCATTAGCATAACTCATTAGTATAACTTATTTGCATATGCCACGCCCCCTGACATCACCGGAAGTGACAGAAGGCCACACCCCCTGACATCACCGGAAGTGTGTCAGAAGGCCCGGCTACTTACCCTCCTGCTTCATCCTCATTCCCAAACGGAATGAGGATCGAAGCAGAGGGCGGGGTAAAGAAGGGGCGGGGCTTCACCACGTGACCGCCCCACCCCCTAGAGGTTCTCTTCCGGAGCTCCATACCTGAGAGCTCCCCCCCGACTAGAGCCCTGAAGATAAATGAAATGAAGGGATCACTGCAAAAGCATCTTTATATGTTTGTGCATACCAACAGTATTACAGGGATCAGATGTGAGCTCTTATCAGAGCTACGGCTTGCCCAAGGTCGTCCAGCCAGGTGCAAGTGGAGGAGTGGGGAATCAAAGCCGGTTCTCCCAGATTAGAGTCCACGCACTTAACCACGACACCAAACTGGTAAGAACAGGTTCCCATGCCTGGGCACTGCCCAGAGGTATTTGCCCCAGAACAATCCGGAGTCAGCGGCCTACCTTTCTCGTAAGGCCGGGTTGCGGAGATCGGTGATCAAGGGCATCGTCCGCTTGAACTGCTCGATCTTCAGCTTGGAGGTCTCGATGATCTCCCAGTTCCGATCCTCAAGTCGGGAAACAGGGGGGGAAGGGGATTCACTGGGGGGAGCTGAGAGGTAACTGCTTTCCTCTGGAGGCAGAGGGGGAAACCGGGGGGGGGCGAAGGGAATTCCCACCTAATCCTTGCCCATGGCTCCTTTTCTCAAGACAAGGATGTGACCCAGATGGAGGTGGTGATCCCGCCTGCTGTGGCTAAATGGGGACGCCCCCCCCTCTCTCTGTCTCTCTCTGTCTCTGTCTCTCTCTGTCTCTGTCTCTCTCTCTCTCTCTGTCTCTCTCTGTCTCTCTCTCTCTCTCTCTCTGTCTCTGTCTCTCTCTCGCTCCTGGTCTCTTCTACTGAACACTGCAGAGTGGCCCTTCCCGTCTGCTCAACAGGGTTTCTGCTCAGCCCAGAAACAATCCCTGTGCAACCTTGGTCTGGTACCTTCTGGTCTTCCCAGCCCTGCAGCAGCATCATGGTTAGAGTGCTGGACCAAGATGGGAGTCATCCGGCTGGGAAACAGGGCCGCCACCTCTGGCGTGGGAAATCCCTGGAAAGTTAGGACCAGTGCCCGGGGAGGGGGCGGTGTGGCGGTGAAGGGAGCTCAGTGCGGATGCAGTGTCCCTCTAGGCTGGGGTCATTTCGAGGGGGAACGGGCAGGAACGGCGTTCCGGGAGTAACAAGCCCAGGAGTAGGGAACCGAGGCATGCTTGCCTGCCTGCCCTTTGCTTCCCAGCCAGACATGTCCCCTTTTTCCCTGAGCGACTCCGCTTTTGTGGACAAACTTGGGGAGGTGTGGGGGGATTTAAATGCCTTTCTTTCCCTTCTCCAGATGGGGAAGGGAAAGAAAGGCATTTTAAACATGCCTGGGTTCCCTGCCCATTCTTCTCCAGGTGCCCCGCGGCTGCGGGGCACCTGGAGAAGATCGGGCAGGGAACCCGGGCATGCTTGCATGCCTGCCCTTTGTCGGGGTGTGTGGCATATGCAAATAAGCAATGCTAATGAGTTCCTGCACCTCTTTTTCTACGAAATGACCCCTGGCTCTAGGACTTCCGTTTGTCCTGCATTCTATGGCTTCCTGTGGAGTCTGTCCTCCAAAGCCGCCCTTTCCTCCGGGGAAACTGAACTCTTGTTGTCAGAAGATCAGTTGTAATTCCGGAACTCCAGGCCTCCCCAGGGGGTTGGCAACCCTACTGGATTCAGATTCAGACCCCTTTGATGCCAGCCCTACTGGAAAACCCTACTCAGCCACGGGAGCCCCTTGGCCTCTTCTCTCTTCCTCAGCCTGACCTCCCCTGCAGGACCGTTGTGGTGAACGATGCAGGCAGGCCACCACCCCCCTGCTCCCCTCAGCCCCACTCGGCCTCACCTTCAGCTCCTTGCTGAGCTTGTTCAGCTTCCGGTACAGCATGAAGGCCGTGGTCTCCATCACCTCCGTCTGCAGGGTCTTGAAGCTGCCCGTCTTCCACTCGTTCCAGTGCACCTCCCACTCCTTGGTGATCTCCCAAACCTGCTGGATGTAGTCCAGCTCCTGCAAAGCAAGGGAGGGGGCGGGCGGGTCACCTCCGCTCACCGTGTCCAGAGTTCGGTTCCTCCCGTCCAGCCCGGGGCTCAGGCGAGCGGGAAGACAAGGGACCGCCGCCCTACCCTCTCCAGCTTCTGGAGGTCTTTGGAGGCGGGCTGGTCGATTTTGAAGATCCCCAGGTTGGAGCGGAGGGTGTTCTCCTCCTCCTTCAGGGAGGCCAGCAGCTGCCGCATGGCGTTGATCTGCTCCAAGGCGGCGTCAGCGGACAAGGCGCTGGTGAAAGGACCTGGGAGGGGAGGCGGCAGAAGAGAGAGAGAGAGAGCCAGGAATCAACTACCCTGTGCCCTCTGGCGCCTCCTGGAGGACAGCAGCGATGAGGAACAGAGGAAGCCTGCTCTGCTGGGCCTGGGATCGGAGCCCCGGCCTTCGTCTGATAAACGCTGGCTGTGCTCTCCCCCTTGCGAGAGGGGGGAGCCCTGAACTGCGTGGCTCACATGGAGCCTCGTGCACCACATGACCCCAGGCCTCCCACAGACACTACACGGATCAGTCTGGGAGGGAGGAACTGGAACCACGGTCCCAGCCCGGTCCTAGGCTCGGTTACGCAAAAGGGAAGCCCAGCGGTGCCCTTCTCAGTCTCCCTCTGGCAGGGGAAGAGAGGAGCCGCATCGACCAGCCCAGTCAGCAGCGGCATCCTCTAATCTGGGAGGACCGGGTTTGATTCCCCACTCCTCCTCCACTTGCACCTGGCTGGATGGCCTTGGGCAAGCCGTAGTTCTGATAAGAGCTGTTCTTGAAAAAGAGCCGTTTCTGTCAGAGCTCTCTCAGCCCCACCTACCTCACAGGATGTCTGTTGTGGGGAGGGGAAGGGAAAGGAGTTTGTCAGCCGCTCTGAGAAACCTTTGGGTAGTGAAGGGTGGGGTATAAATCCAATCTCTTCTTCTCCTTCTCTCCCCCCCCCCCCCCCAGCCCCGTGACGGGAT